GATTGATGCCACTGGAAGGCCACCTGACTTTGTTCCCTACAAAAAATAGTACTGCTCGTCGTAATTTGTATGCGAATTAAAATTATCATAAAAACAGCTTGTCTCGCTAATGATAAATAAGCAATTAAAACTAAAAATGTCAAACAGGAACTCATGGCAAAGGTTTTGTCAGAATTTTTTTAATGTAAAATTTCACTAATTTGAGCAGTCCCCGATGAATAATCACATTATATTTCTTATAAAAGCAGTCATGGAAAATTATATTAATTTAAGATTACATTATTTGACAAAAAAGCCACCCCAGAAATATAAAAACGTCAAGTGTTGCACAAATACCTTCACTTTACAGGTTAGTGAGTAAGGTTCCAAAATACCTACTACTTCAATCCGCTATGATAGCTTAAACCAATGTAACCCGATTATTTTATGTTTTTATTTATTTTAAATTTAGGGCCTTAAAAATTTTAGAACTATTTTGGTTTAAAGGAAACAATCGATAACTTTCCAATTTCGTCAATCTCTAAAGTATATGTAAAATAAATGGCTTTTTTACAACACAAGGATAGTGCCCAATATTTTTGTGTGAGTAAGTAGTACGGTGAATGGTAAATGGACGTTGTGGTTTTAGAGATATGCTTTATAATTAATTGTGTAGTACGTTATGATTTATTAAATGCGAGTGTATGCGTGACAGCGTATCTATTGCTTTTACTGATCTGTTTGTGTAGTAGTTGGCGCGTGGTAGGGGCCAACTGGAGACACCGGGTTTCGATACATTTTCAACTACTGGGCATATCTCCTTCATTATTTATATCTATGATCCTGACTACCGCAAACTACATTGCACATAAACAAATAGCTGCTGAAACATACAAATACTATCTCTGAAGAAATGATTGGTATAGATTTTGTAACACCTATTTACAATACAAATCATCTTCCCTAGTTCGGAAAAATATTCAAAGAATCCATTGTGATTCTTCAATTTGGATCAAGCAATTTGTACATAAGCTCGCCCTTCCCACTCTCTTTTTACTCATCAAAACAAATTTAATGCCGCTTTTACAAATTATATACAGTACTTTAATCTTGAAGACTTCTCTCCAAGAGATAATGGGATTCCTTACTCTTTTACTGCCAAATGTAGTGAAAAAAAACTAAAACTTTATTCCAATCAAACCATATTTTTAATTTAGGAATGGAAAACCCAGATTATTTTTCTCATTTTCAAACCAGGCAAAGGAAGCAATACTTCCTCAAGTTACAGATAGAGCAATTGCTCTATCGGGTACAATAGCAAAGTTTTTGGAACATCTTAAAAATATTGTTTAGAAGAGTTCCTGGAAAGTAAGGATGTCTTATCAAGAAGCCAGTTTGTCCTTCGAAACAGCTTACATACTATGGATAGACTTAGTGTGCTAGTTATTGATATTGCTTTTCAATGATTAGATTTTTTTAATTTTTATAAGCCAGTGCTTGACAATTGCACCTGGTGTTAAATGGTGATGCAGCCTTAGATGGCAAATCCCACTGTCTTAGCGTAACAAATATCTATTCACTCTTGCCTTGAAGACGCCAAGATTGTATCGGGATGGAAAGATAGACGCTGGCAAATTATTCCAGTCCTTTGCTGAACGCGTTAAAAAGTCGAAGTAAACCGTTTGGTTCATGGCGTGAAGACCCGCCGACCAACTGGTCATCCAATGGTGGAAAGGAGAGGGAGGAGAATTAAAGCGTGCAATTCCTATGCACACTCTCCGAAATGCATTCTATAGAATACTAAGAGGCTGGTTACTTTGCACCTGTGTTCGAGGCTGACAAGTTTGATTTCAACCAAATCAAGGTCACCAATGAGCCTCTTAGCACATCTCTGCACCGACTCTGCACGACACTGCACTTGCGCTTTATATAAGGTAAGAAGCTGTCCCGGCGTGAAGTACCGCAGCACTCTTGCAAGGACACCGAGTTTCCTTGCGGCTGCTTCAGCTCTGGACTCAATGAACCGCCCATAATTGAGGTTCGGAGAAAATTCAACCCCTAACAACTGAAGGCGGATCAGTGTACTCCAAGGATACATTCCTGAAAGTAGGAGCCAGAGTGAGAGCGGGCTTCGGCTTTCGGAAGATTATCTTATAGAAGTTTTTTTTGATCATTTATCTGCATACAATAATGTTCAACTTCTTGTGCTCAAGCTGCTGAATTTAAGTATAAAACTGAAGAAAATCAACGAATTTTCAACCTTTTTCTCTTTTTGGTCTACAGTCGGTGGCCAAATTATTATGCTCAAACAAAAATTCATCACAATCCATGAAACTGGTGGCTGTAATTAACTAATGATTGCAAAATGTTATTGTTTTATTTTGTGTGTGTTTTTTTCAAAATGGTGGTCGCTAATGTCAGTGCATGTCAAAATTGTTCTGTTGCCTGTGAGAAGTATAGTTTATAACTTTTAATATTAATTTATTAAAAACTTTAACTTGTAGTACATATAAAATCTTACATGAGATAGCTATAAAATTAGGTAAAAAAACACTAGTGAGGGTGATGTTGTGTTCTCCTTGCTAGACTAAGAAATAGCCTGTATTAAGGAGATTCATATATTACGGATATACGGGAGAGAATTGGGGGAGGGTAGCACCACGCCACTCAACGTAGCGCAGTCGAGGGAAGCTGGGTCGACGGCCTACTTCTGAGTGGTTTATAAAAATATAACCACAAAGGAGATGGCATGGCATCGGTTCATTTTGGTCTTTTCTGTAAAAACGAAGATCTAAAAAAAACTCATCAAAATCGGATGATTTTTCGATTTTCTAGAGCATTTATAAACATATAAACGTTTTTCAATGCCTTTTTTTTAAATGTTTGTTATTTATGTTAACAGAAAAAATATGGAAACTTCGTTTAATGCTTTGCAAAAAAGTTATAAACAATTATATTCGAAGAAGTGCATTTATGATCACATTTAAAGTCATAAAACTATATGAAATCTTGCGGTGAGATATTTTCCAATTTTGTCCCATAGTTCCGCTGTAAAGACGAAGATTTTATAAAAAATTTAATTGAAATCGGATGTTTTTTCGATTTTCTGGAGCCAAAAAACGAGACCGTGATAGTATAAAATTACCATTATAACTTTAGAAACTGTATATTGTATTTTATAGCTTTATTTGACAAAATACAAAAAAATGGTTTTGAGTATAATAATTTGGCCACCCACTGTATATCAATAAATATTCAAAACTACTCCCTCCCAAACACATTTGGAAAGATATTGCACAAGGTTCAGCTCTAAGCCATATTATCTGCATTATCTACACTTTTGATTTAGATTCATCATTACAGCCCTTCACAAGTCCACTTCTGAACATAGGCCTCCTCCAAAGAATACCACAAAGCACAGTCTTGAGCCACCTGTGCCCATGGACTTCCTGCATGTTTTCAGCTCATCACTCCATCTAGTGGGAAGGCACTAAATACTTTACCTAGTGGTATGAGGCTGCCACCCAAGAACCTTACTTCCCCCAGTTGCCAGTTTTTCGAGCTTAATGGCTGGCCCATTGCCCTTTCAGCTTTCTAATCTGTTGGGCTATGTCGATTACTTTGGCTTTACTTAGAGATGGGCCGACTATTCGGGTAAATCACCGAACATTCATTAAAGTGGTAATCAAAGTGTCCATTGTATTTAAATGTACAAATTAAATAATGCCATGTCTCATAATTTTACTGTTGAAAGTTTATTTTATTTATGGGTTAAATCTACTTGTATAGTGTTATGTTTTTGAGGCACATTATACCAAATAGAAAGCTTGATAAAATATTTTGGAATCAAACAAACATTACATTACATTAGTACATTTCACTTTACTTTGGTCGTCAGTTTCTCTGAAATAAGTCGAAATAGTAGATGTCCTGCCACTCATTTTTATCATATAATTATCAATTTCACTAAGAATAAACAATGACACACTTGTTTCCAAGTCCAAACAAAACATGTGCCAGCAATTTTTTCAGTACTAGATGATGCAATAACATGTCAGGTTTGGCATGGGAATGAGGGGTAGGGTTCAGCACTAATCCTATGCACTTTACGGTAACAAGTTTCGAAATAAATTGGTCAGGTTAGAAATCCATATTCGGCCCATCTCTAGTTTTACTGACGATATCCTGGGACATAGTCCTGTCCATAGTTCACTGAGCAACCTTGAGCTTCCTGATATGGCCAGCAGTGAGGAACCACATCTTTGATCCATAAGTCATCACTGGCAACATGCACTGGTTATAAAATCTTATTTTTAGTTTGGAGGTATACCTGATGTGCAGATGTGTCTTAATCTCCCGAATGCTGCCCAGCTAAGTTCAATCTGCCAATTGTCCTCTCGGTCTAATTTGAACTTACCAAGTCGGACTATTTGTCCCAGGCGAACATATTTATTAACAACTTCGAAGCTAGTGCTTCCAACAATTACTACTGGCATATGTGTCATGACATGTCATTATACATGATCTTTGCTTTGTCAACATTCATTTAAAGACCTATCTATTGGGAGACGCTATTAGGGTCCATGAGTATAGTGTTTAGATCCTCCAGTGATTCTGGCATAAGGACTATACTGTTGGCAAATCGAAGATGAGTGATGTACTCGCCATTAATGTTAATACCATATCCTTTCCTAAGGCCAGCCCTGGGGCCTTAGAAAAAAATATCTTTATCATTACAGTCCTTCACAAGTCCACTGCAGAAAATTGTCATCTCTCAAGGAATGAAATTGACTTCCTTCATATCTCACTATGGTCTCACTGCATCTAGTGCAGGGCCGCCCTACACTTTGCTTATAAGTCTGCCATTCAAGAATTTTTTTCCGCATCTGCTGTAGGTTCCTCCAAATATATGGCCGGTCCATTGCCACTTTAGAATACAAATACATTATCATTTGTTAAGTTAACTTATATTTACTTAATTAAGATACATGCTATTTTATAATTAATGTGATTTGTCTTACCCACTGGACTCTCTCGTGAGTGCAGAGTGCGACGACGGTGTAATGTGTTGCTCGGCCATAGACGACGCTGGGAAACACACGCGGCTGCTTGTGTGGGGCCTGCGCAGGCCGCCCGCGCCCGCTACCTGCCTGGCACCATGCCCGGGCGAGCGCTAAACCGCTGCCTCTGCATCCACTGCACCGCGTATATCAACCTTCTCACTAACACATCACCACTAGACGCACCTATTTAGTTACTGTCACCGTCACACTCACTTCACCCAGATCAACACTAGGTACAGCACCACACCTACTACTTTATATTTACTGCGCAGCTATCTGAAACAAAGATAAAATTTACAGTCAGCGATGTGAACAATGCTACGTTACATAAACATTTTAACAAGTAATTTGTAGAAGGTACCTGCCACAGAATCAAGATTGATTAGCACAAAATGTAATTAAGCTTTTTGAAGATACTTTCCAAATATATTACACACCCTAATTTAATTATTTAAATACCACGTTTTAAAGAAATTATCGTAGTGGATGACACATCAAGGACAGCTAAAGCATTTCGATTTCGACATTATTTTTCAATCTACACACAGCTGGCTAGCTGTCAAAATAAAGTGTTGCCAGTAAAGCATTTCAAAATCTTACCAAATTAAATACAAATGTTAGGAATTTAAAATGGAAAAAGAAAATCATAATGAGTATTATTAAAAAAAAACCTGGAAATAGTATTTTTTTAATTTAGCTATTTTTATGAGCGTACAACTTAGTTTTGCAAAATACGAACTAAATATAACTCGCACGACGAAAGCAACAAATAACCATATTATTTATTTTTTTACATGTATATTACATGTGTCCAGTATTGTTTAAAATAAAAAGATAAAAAAATCAACGATAATTTTTCTCAACCTCAGTTTTTTATAAACAAATATTTAGCAATATTGGAATATAGCATAGTAATACTTTTTTAAATTGCACCAACACTGCTAACTAATTGGAAATTACAGCTGTTATTTTATTCTGACAGTGGTAGAGCCACGCGGCAGCATTGCTGTTGCACGTACGGGCCGGCTAAATCCGGGGTGGTACCACGACCTCACGGAATACCGGCGTGAAGTGAAATCTCTGCTTCCGCGTTTGGTCTGGTGAGTGCAGGTGGCCGGAGGCCCAAATTCCCCCCCCCCATCAACATGGTAGCGGAATTAAATGATGATAGACTACCCCAGGAGGGTACCAGCACCTCTGGAGAATCCCTCGCTGAGCATCCACGACCATGTTTCTCCACTTCTGAGCGTGGGTGCTCAGGTTGCCCCGCGTATTCTGGGGGGGGGGGGGGGGAAATTCCGCTCAAGACTACAACTGCTCGGGGCAAACGAAGCAACAAGACCAAGGCGACCCCTGCCACGCTGTCCGTGAATTTCTGCAATATCAGGGGACTTCACTCTAAACTAAACGCCGTCCACTACCATCTCGAGACGGCGAGGCCGGCTCTGCTCTTCCTGACCGTGACGCAGGTGTCCTCTCCGGCCGATGTCTCGTATCTCTCCTACCCGGGGTACAAACTGGAACACTCCTTTGTGCCTCGGGCTGGAGTTTGCGTTTACGTCAGAGAGGACATCTGTTCTCGACGCCTTGGCAGACTTGAACTACGCGTAGACAGCGACGACCATCCACGCGTCTACGGGTGCCTCTATAGGTCCCATAGCGGTAATGCCGAAACAGACCGACTCTTCGTCCACGTCCAAATAGCTACAGATTCGTTGCTACAGCAGATTCCCTCCGCAGAGATCGTGATCCTCGGCGACTTTAACGCCCATCACGCCGAATGGCTTGGTTCACTTTTAACCGATCATGCGGGGAGATCTGTTCATGATTTTGCCTTGGCATATGGTCTGACACAACTGGTTACTTCGCCTACGCGGATTCCAGATGTGGAGGATCATGCACCTTCCCTGTTGGACCTTCTGCTGACCTCTCACCTGGACGGATATCAAATTTCCGTCGTAGCCCCTTTACGCTCCTCGGACCATTGTCTTGTCCGTAGTGTGGTGCCACTCACGCTGAAATCGCAGTTGCATTCTGCAGACTGCCGCCGTGTTTGGCACTATAGGTCAGCCGATTGGGATGGGATGCGGTCTTTCTTTGCATCCTACCCTTGGGGGCGGGTTTGCTTCTCGCCGGACGATCCCAACGTTGTTGCGGATTCTGTCGCTAATGTGGTACTTCAGGTTATGGAACTTTTTATTCCTTCCTCTGTGGTGCCCATTGGAGGCAAATCTCAGCCATGGTTTGGTCGCTCCTGTAAAATAGCATCATGGTATAAGCAGGAGTGCTACCGAGCATGGGCTGACGCATCAGCGTCCCGGGATGTAAACACCAGCGCTCTAAAAAAAGTATAATTCCACCTCTAGGTCCTTCAAAAGAGTCATTGCCAAGGCAAAGTCAGAGCACATAGGCAGAATTGGCCAGAAACTAGTTCGCCTTCCTTCTGGAACCCGTGCATTTTGGTCTCTCGCCAAGGCTGTCCAGGGGAATTTCTGTCAGCCATCTTTTCCATCTCTGCACAGGGAGGACGACTCACTGGCCCATACCGCAAAGGAGAAAGCCGATTTTCTAGGCTCTTTCTTTGCGTCCAACTCGACTCTCGATGACGGGGGGAGTACGCCGTCGACCATCCCGCGGTGTGAGTGCTCCATGCCGGAAGTGCAGTTCACACAGCGCTCGGTTCGCAAATCACTCCTCTCCCTGGACATCCACAAGTCGAATGGGCCTTACGGAATCCTCCCAATTATGCTGAGGACGTGTGCTCCAGAGTTGGCACCGGTTTTAACGCGTCTTTTCCGGTACTCCTACTCCCTAGGCGTAGTCCCAAAATCATGGAAGACGGCTTTCTTCCACCCGATCCCTAAAAAAGGCGACGCTCAGACCTGTCCAACTACCGGCCTATCGCCATCACCTCCTTGTTCTCCAAAACAATGGAGTCTATTGTAAACTTCCAGCTCATGAGGTACCAGGAGGATCACCAGCTGATTAGTGACCGCCAATACGGTTTTCGCCGTGGTCGGTCAGCTGGTGATCTTCTGGTCTACCTAACTAATAGATGGGCGGAGGCAGTAGAGTCCAAAGGGGAGGCATTGGCCGTTAGTTTGGACATTGCGAAGGCCTTCGATCGGGTTTGGCACAAAGCGCTTCTTTCGAAGCTCCCTTCCTATGGGCTTCCCGAGAAATTGTGCGATTGGATCACCAGCTTTCTTGCAGATCGGAGCATCAAGGTCGTTGTGGACGGTGCAAGCTCCGATTGCAAGCCTATTAATGCTGGTGTTCCACAAGGCTGCGTGCTATCGCCAACGCTGTTTCTTCTGCATATCAATGATATGTTGCAAACCTCATTGCTATGCAGATGACAGCACTGGTGATGCTCTTTACACCGGCCGAGCCAATATTTCTCGGGAAAATCTCCGAGTGCCGGGACAAACTTGTGTCTGAAGTCGAGTCTTTGCTGTACAGTCTCGGATTGGGGGCTACTAAATCTAGTCCAGTTTAACCCCGATAAGACACAAGTTTGCGCGTTAACCGCTAAAAAGAACCCCTTTGTCGTATCTCCTCAGTTTCAAGGCACTTCCCTTGCTGCCTCAGCCAGTATCGGATTCCTCGCCGTTGACATATCATGTGACGTGCAGTTTCGTGGTTACTTGGAAGATAAGGCCAAATTGGCCTCTAAAAAGCTTGGCGTGCTCAGCAGAGCGGGACAGTATTTCATGCCGGCACACTGCCTGCTACTTTACAAGGCGCAGGGTCGGCCGCACATGGAATACAGTTCCCATCTCTGGGCTGGGGCTCCCCAGTACCAGCTCCTTCCACTTGACCGCATCCAGCGCAGAGCGGCTCGAATCGTCGACGACCGAGTGCTTTCCAATCGGCTCGATTCACTGGCACTGCGAAGAGATGTTGCATCTCTTTGCATTTCATTTCGCATATACCATGGAGAGTGCTCTGAGGAATTGTTCGGATTAATCCCAGCCGCCAAATTTCGTGAACGCACTACGCGGCAAACGTCCCGATACCATCCACACCATCTGGATGCTTGGCGGTCCACCAAAAGGAGTTTTCTTCCGCGTACAACCTCTCTGTGGAATAGTTTACCACCGGCGATTTTTCCGGACCAATACGACCTGGGGACCTTCAAGAAAAGAGCTTACTCCTTTCTAAAGGGCCGGCAACGCACCTGCAATTCCCCTGGTGGTGCGGTTGATCATGGGCGGCGGTAGTCACTTAACATCAGGTGAGCCGAATGCTCGTTTGCCCCCTCTTCTATAAAAAAAAATTAATAAGTCAGTAAAGTCCCGCTGATTTTCTTGCTGGTTATTACTAGAACAGAGGTTTTTTCCTAACCAGTGGTAAGTTAAAAAAAGTTACTTTCAATAAGTATTATTTATAATGTATATTGAATAAAAAAGTTTCTGTTTCAATAATATAACAACACATAGTTTAATATATTAACAATATACTCACATATCATTTTGGCATATTAATTAAGAGGATTGTGAAATGCCGACACGCGGCGCGAGTAGGAATTTTCCAAAATGCTATCTGTTTCAAATAGCTCGCTCCGTATCGCCGTAGTGCGATAAAGAGAGTTGCAAATGTTGGAAGTAATTGCCTACATTTCCTTTTTAAAATATTTCGAGCGATAATGTTTTCATCCCCTAAATCATTACGAAATTAGACAATTTTCATCTCATTAGATTCAGTATACCTTAATTTATGTCTGTACGTTTTTTTTAGTATATCAGTTTAGTTTAATTAAAAAAAAATACGCTTGAGGAAGTTTTTAAATCAAAAACAGAGATGTTTACACGCTAATAAATTATGTCGTACGCATTATTTCCTACAAATAAAAATGTACGGACCTAGTTTTTTATTATATCTACATTTCCAAAACTATGAAAATTAGACTATGTTTACGAGAGGGAAAACGTCATCGCTTTTTGTATGAAAATTTACAGATTCACAATCCTCTTAAGTATTAACTTAACTTTTATTATGCTAATAAATCCGACGT